TTCCCTACCCTTTCGTATACTACAATGAGTAAAATCTCTACCCTTTTGATATGCCTGACGCCTGAAAAAGATACCCCTTTGGGCGGAGCCTCCTCGTACAGGCTATTATAGGAAGTACCCCTCCGGAAGCCTAGGCATCCAGCCAGGTGACTTATAAACCCAAGGCTTCTATCAGTAGAAACACATGTATTACATGGTGACCATTGCATGCAAACCACCTTTTACAATAACAAGAAGGTGTAACTATCAAAGGCGGTAAATAATGGTGCATGGAGATAGACCGCGACACAATGAGCGTCGTTTACTATTTGGCGATATGCACCGACCCTTAAGAGGGGTAGATGATATGTTTAGCCATTTTCAGTAGCTAGCTATACTAGCAATTTTCGCGTGTTGTGATTGGCCCCTGTAACTTCCGAGGGTATTATATCCAAGGGGCCTTAAAATCGGAATAGAATTTAAATGAGTTAAAAACACTCTATAGCGGTGCTGCGCAAAATACAATTTGCATTTACTGGGTTTATATTAAGCTTCAAAACGTCATTGATAGTAAATAGATGTCACAGGAAGCTTATAATTGGTGCTAGAGGGGGGCTTATATTCGGGGAGACGTATAATAGCATGTATAGAAAGATTGGTCTATAATTGGGGGCCGTATAAGTGGCGGGGGGGTGGGGGGCTTATCATCGGCTGTTACGGTATGTGAGTTTTTTTAGCCAGGCTCCTTAACGTAATGACAGACTGGGTTCAAGTATTATAAGAAGAGACCTCGTCTTTGGGCGTTCGAATTGCACAACTTAGTTGACTAGAAAATAGGAATGAAATGTATTAAAAAGTTTTATCCATTCTCATTTCTTGTTCTGCTATTTTAAGGCTGTTTTTTTTGTGTGCCCGATTTCAATAGAAAACATATGACGATGCAACAGATCATTTTAATGTATCCGATTTTTGACCAGTTTATATCTTTTCGTTTTTCTTTCGAAAAATCATAGCGTGAAAACCGCCTTAAAGCTCTCCAGTTACAAGAGCAAGTTTTCTTGAACAAGGGAAACTTCACGGGCACCCAACGACTGTTTTCTGTAAAATATCTGTTCGGAGAACTGCACATATTGCTTAGTATTTTCTTTTACTTCAGGGCGGCAAACAATTTCTAGATGACCGTTCCATTCACGTACAATTTTCGAAGCTTATCTAACTTATAAATTCCCCACGATTTTCGTAAGTCTAATTCTCACATTTTACTTCCCAAGTTCCGATCGGCTATTTTTTGTAGAAAAAAGGGAATCTAAAATTTTCGGATTAAAAAATGTGGTAGTGTTAAGAATCAGAAAATGTCTCACTTTCGTAATACGTCAAATTTCATCTAAGATTTTCGGAAAAAAAAATACTCAAGCCCTTGTGATTTCGAGAAGACTCAAGTTCCCCTAGGATGACCGAACAGATACTAATTTTATAGCGCCGCTTAGAATGCATTTTAAGAGATCTAAAAGTACTCTAGATGACCTAAAAAGTGTTTCAATGTATTTAGGAGAAACCATCGTTGGGTGCCCCTGAAACCTTCCCCGCCGTTAAAAAGGTAAAGGGGAGCTCCATTATGTTACGAGCCTCACTATGTTATGAGCTCCATTATCCGTCTTATACGTGCTACTCGACTCACAATTTTGTTATCGCGCGAGAATGAAGCTGCCTCTAACATAAATGTCTCGCAATAGTATTTTGCAGCAGGTATATTTTGAAAAAGTAGGTTCACGTTCTACATTATGTAACGTCTGCTACAGCAAAAGTAAGAACGAAGACGATGCGCTCTCTTTTTGACTGACTCTAGATCGTAATAGCCGGGGAGGCTACTCAACACAGTTTTATATGGGGGTCAGACTTCGCCCCGATGACTAACCCCTTAACCCTGTACTTACAATTTTTGACAGAAAAGATACCCTTTTGTATACCTTCTATTGGACGTATTTAAACTAGAGACGGACTATTCGTTGGAAAGTTCGTGTCGGGCAGATAATCGTCTTATATGATTGCACTTATAAGCCTTCCTCTTCAGTTATGGGCCCATATACTGGCTGTTAACGAAAAAAATACATCCGAATATAATCCCCACCGGGTATAATAAGCTCCCCTCTTGCTTGAACTGAATTGATTAGAATTCGATTTCTAATGACGTTTTGAATCCTTAATTAACGACCAGTAAATTCACAAACATCTATTTTGATCAGCAATGCTACAGCTTATTTCGAAGCGCTTTTTCTATGACATCAATAAGCCCCCTCGGATATTAAAAGCCCGTCCGTTTATACGCCTTCTAAAAACCCCTTAGGAAGATGTATAATCCCACAGCTTATAAGCGACAGTTTATGGTAATAATTTAATACTAAAGGCGATCTGTTAAGAATGAGCCACATTTAACACGACTGGAAATAACTTGACGTCTGTGGATTCATGGCCGAAAAAATACTTTTTGCTAAGCTTTTGTTTGCTCTTGTTTTATTTTACTCTTCTTTTTGTGCGAGCAATCATCTTAATAACGTCATACCTCTCACACGTATCTAGCAACAACAGGAAGTCTTCTTGTCGTTTTCATGTAGCGTTTAATTAATGAATTTTAATATATTTTTCATTTCAGTGGCTGTAAAATTACCAAATTTGAAAGTGTTACGTCGTAAATGTGCGACGATATAGCTCCGTAAAGTTGCGAAAATCTACTGACGTTTGTACGTGATGGGGTGGTTGTGGTTGTCGGGGGGGGGGGGGAGGGACCAAGACTGTCCCCGACCCCCCACCATACAAACGTTTGTAAAATTTCCCGAATTGAGGCCGAGCTATATCTTCGTTGGTTTTCAACAAATCACTTTCAAACTTGGCAAATTTTCAAATTTCAAGGCATTTTTTTTCTAATGGTGAAAAAAAAAAGTGGAATGGTCTATCCTGACAGAGGAACCCTTTTAAGCAGAGCCTCCCCATATAGGTCATTATAGTGAGCCCGCCAAAACACCCCTCCCCGCCTCTCAAGGTATAAGATACCGGAATTTAAAAATAGCCCACTAACATTAGACACGTTGAGGCTTGTTTAGCTGGAGTTTAATGGAGCCGCTACTTTTTCTGATATAACAACATAACATAGCCAACTTGGACTGAAGGCAAAGTATTATTTTTGGCGCACTATAGAGTAAAGGCATCGGGTACCGTTAGAAACGCAAAGTCGTGATAGCATGCATAAAACTTTGTTGCTTTTGTAACAATTTATGTTCTGTAATATATTTTTGGAATGTTCATCTTTTGACCCTGTTTCAGTACTCTGAAGCTGGCTTATAAACAGAGAATCAGAAGATGTAAAAAATTGCCATAAAAGGAAAAACAAACAAACAATATACAGGAAAAGAGGTTTTACTTCAAATATTTACTATAAAATGAATGAGCACGTAGCACTGATTTCAAAAAACGCTGTGTTCTCCTTCTATTCACACCGCCATGGTTCAGTATTTCGCTGTTTTCCTGATTCTCTCTTTTTTTGGCGGCTCTGTGGGAACAACCACCTCACCTCAGCAACGAAACGATTCAAAGTTAAAATACTTATGCCAGGTAAGAAATGCATAGAGATATAAAAAAGAAGAATTGCGCCGTTTTACTAGTCTCACGTCGTTATTATCATTTACTAAATAGTACCCGTTACAAGTGTATGGCAGTTTATTTAAAAGTCCTCGCTTCAGCATGATCTTTCCTCGAAAACCTGATGTCTGTCCATTGTTAACTGTTAATTTTCTCTGATTCTATCCAAGTCCATTCGAGGGGAGATAACGCGTTAACTTTAACAGTAGCTAAAAACCTAGGCTCATTGTTTGATGAGCAGCTCACTATGTCAACTCATATTAACAAGTTATGTGGTGTTGCCTTTTACCATTTGCATGATATTAAACGCATTCGCAAGTATTTGTCTCGGGAATCAACGATACTACTTATTACGTTCAAACAATTCACGGCCTTGCTCCTAAATATTTACGCAATTTACTAACATTTAAATCGTCCTTATATAACCTTAGATCTTCAGGTAGTATTTTACTTTCTATGCCAGCTGTTCGATCGAAGACGTTAGGTGATAGAGCTTCTATGGTAGCAGCGCCAAGGCTCTGGAACTCTCCTCCAAAAGAACTTCGTACGATTACTAATGTGAACAGTTTTAAGGCGCATATTAAGACTTATCTTTTTAGAACTTTATATTGGTGAGCAATTTTATATTCAGTTCTTACTTACATGCATATATATTCATTTTATTTTTTATTTTTAAATGCGTTATCTTTTATTAAATTCTTGTAAAGTAATGCAGTTGTAATGCGCATTCTGATCATTCTCATGTTAAGCTGTGCGCCCGGGGGGGCACTTTTGGAATTTCTGGGTGGTGATGTGCCGCTGGGAGCCTGGAACCCCTAACCTTCACCAGAGCTAGTTCAGCTGAATTTTGCTACCCTATAATAGAGTAAACTCCCCAAATCCCCCTGTCCTAGAGTAGCTGTGTACCTAGTCTAGATAAAATCTTCAACCAACTGATCAGTTTCCTGAAAAATGATACCCTATTCTAGAGCCAATCGCTCTGACTTATATACCCTATCCTAGAGTAAACTGCTTGAAAACCATACCCTTCACAGCGGCACATACCTATATAGCCCATATATGGCAGTACCCCCGGGGCTGTGCACAATAAGTTCATAAATTATTATTATTATTATTATTATTATTATTATTATTATTCTTTTTCGTTGCTGTTCTTAATCTAAGTAATGGTGACATTCATAATTTCTTGGAGACAAGGTCTGAAAACTGGTGTGGATTTTAGACTCTGAAAACGAGTGTAAAAAATAACGTGTTTTGGTCTGAAATAGAGTCAGGATTTGGGGAACCGGGCGGCACATTCCCACCGAGGAGTACATCCCCCCCCCTTCTCCCCGAGTCATTTACAATCGTCTCTGCTAATTACAAGTCATCTTTACTTTCAGCGATCTATGCTGGGTTTCCCTGGTATTCCAGGATCAAATGGGATACCGGGAGTGCCGGGCGTCCCGGGGCCACATGGACCCCAGGGAAGAGAAGGTGTAAAAGGACAAATTGGTGATAAAGGATCACAAGGAATGCCGGGTCCAAGAGGAGACAGAGGGCGCGAAGGACCCCCTGGGAAGAGTGGACCACGCGGAATTCAGGGAATGAGAGGTCAACAGGGACTTCTGGGAATGAAAGGAGAGCGCGGAGCAGTGGGAATAAAAGGAGAGCGAGGCATTGCGGGAATGAAAGGAGAGCAAGGAGCTGTGGGAATGAAAGGACAGCGAGGCATTGTGGGAAATTCAGGAAGAAAAGGAGACAAAGGAGAGAAAGGAGAAAGCGCCAAAGCAAGTCAAGCAAGTGTAGTACCACAAACCAACTGGAAACAATTTGTGTGGAAATCAGGCATCAGTACTGATAACGGAAAGATTAAGGTAATTAGAATAAGAATCATAACAAATTCTAAAGGAAAGTAATTCCTCTCTAAATCAAAATATTTCAAAGAAGAACGTCTCCCTTCTCACTCACCATTTTCCATCACATTACATAAATAACTAAGTTACATTTCTCTCTACTTTGGTTCTTTTTGAACAAAAAAAGGAAAGCCATCTTGGGTGATAAAATGATTCCTGGCCATAAGGATAACGAAAATTGAAGCTATTACAGAGTTTTTAAAAATTAGAAAGTAATCTTGACTGGAGTTGTTAGTATCAATCATTACACACGGTTGCTCGCCTTACTACAATATGTTTGATTTGTTTGATTTTTATTCTAGGACTGTGCGTTTAACAAACTGCAGTCTCATTCAGCGCTCAGAGTCTCATTCCAGGGAAACATGAGGGTCGCAGGTACTAGTTCTAAGTGTAATCGCTGGTATTTCAAGTTCAATGGAAATGAATGCAGTGGACCAATGACGATTGAGGCTGTTGTTTACAACTACTGGCCATCTGGAAACCCTAATCTGCTACATCATCGGTCATTTGAGGGATACTGTGAAAACATCCCACAAGGCGCTGTTAGAGTGGAATTATGGGTAGGAAAGTGTAGTGGCTACACCCTGGGTGATGCTCACACTGGGTGGAGTTCAGTATCTCGGATAATGATTGAAGAAGTATCTAGGCCCCAGTCCTAATAAGGGGAGTCTTCAACTTTGGCGCCGTTTTAATTTTCTCAGAATAGCATTCTACAAATATAGACTGTAAAGCGCAAGGAAGTTTGGTTATTTTGTTTTAGCCCTATTGTGAACTACTTCCGTCTTATATCAGATTGTCAATAGTAAACTCTAATAACAGTATTATGATTTTGTATTGTTATGTCGTCATGTTAGTCCTGTGCAGCAGCTCTTTGTTTTGTCACGAAGTGCTTCTCTAGCTTGATTGTGGGGAGGCACCTTTTGTGACCACACAATAACCGGCTGAGCCCGTAGGGGATTGGTCTCCGATGCAGCCTGTCTTGTCACGTATCACTACTTCTCGTTGCTTGACGACACAAAATGGCCGTGATTAAGAGCGATTGATTGGCGATACTTTTGTAGATGAAATGTTATGGATGCAAAATGTATCACTACAGCTTCAGGGGAACTCATTCTTTCTCGGGTTACCGTGTATACCATCAGATTGTCGGTCGTTTCCTAGGTCTATAATATGTAGTCAAAGTAGAGGTCGTGAAATAATCTTTCATCTCAACGACAAAAAAAAATGTGCGGAAGAGGTAACCGTCGCATTTAAAATATTTTCGTCTGGAAAATCTTTAATCCAATCCGAAAGTGAAAACGATTTAATTAAATCGTGCTTAATTAAATCAAACGGCACGATTCCTTTTGTAGCCAAACCGCTTCGAGGCAAGATCATTATTAAAAGCGGATTAGATTTCGAGGATTAAAATCGCACCTTGTAAAATTTATATCAACTAGTTAGGAAGATGAATACGATGATAGAATAACTTGATAATCTCTAGCATACGTGGCAAACGTTCAAAAGGTAGCGGGAGAAAGGAATGTAAGAGCGAGACCACGCGCGAGGGAGAAGCGAGAAGAGGAACACGTTCTCCTTCCTCATTCCTCGCGCGCCCTTCACGCTTCTCACGCACCCAAAATCTCCTTTTCCTTCCCTTTGGAACGCCTGGCACGCAGGCTAGATTATCTCTCAAACAGTGGAAAAATGGAATGTTTTTATTCGTAACGTTGAGATTCTTGTCAAACCTTCGCATTACCTTAATTAATAGCATCTTTGTTTTATTTCTTGCATGTCAGTTTAGTTTGCTTCAATCTTTCATTCATTACTGAATTATTTAAAGCTTTTAATCATTGTTTCAATAAAAGACAGTGTCTTACAGTATGTACAAATCTTTCCATTATTTTTCTTAAAAAACAAGATCGAAGCCCTTATGTCCGCTCCTTAACAGAGAGATTCCCGCTAAGTCTCACAATATCGATCTATCCAATGCAGCTATCGTAAAATTCCGAAAATAAGCCACTCCATGTATAAGCCCCTCCAAATATAAGCCCCCAAAACTCGTAACACAAAAAAACCCTCCGCTAAATCGCCCCTCCAGATATAAGCCCCCCAGGGACTTATACTTGGAAATTGCCCTCAAATACAAAGGAACTAACTATAAGGCTAGCCCAATCGATTTTGAAACGCAAATTTGCCTCCGTAGATAAGCCCCTCCAAAAATAAGCCCCTCAAAAAGGGCCTTTGAAAAACATAAGCCCCGGGACTTATTTTCGGAATTTTACGGTATTTGCAGCCTTGCATGTCTAGCCGGATTTATGAAAACCGTAACATCGGACACCAGGAGCCCACACACCTTAAACTGACTCAACTAAAGTAAATATCGCCAAGAAACTCAGCTCTTACCCATGGTTCTCTTAAGGTGACTCTCTTCTTGGTTTCTGATTAGCAAAAGAAACATTCAAGTCCATCAAAAAGACACTCTGGACTTGTCCATACACTCTAGCTGCTTAAAGGCCCTGAATGACGGAGGACGCTTGAGACTTCAGCAAGTTCTAAGCAGAGAATTCAAGGTTAAGTCACCCCCCCTGACTTCCTCCACCCCCCCAGCCTAGCACGTGCTTGAGGGGAATGCTTTCATTGGCCAATGGGCCTCAAACGTCACAAGAATTTCACATGACAAACTAAAGGCAGACGTGACCAGTGCACTGACTCTCCCAGACCAGGACTAACGGAAGGTACAACGCTTTTGCAGCAGCCTCCCCCCCTAGGGATTGACGGGGAGGCCCCTTTCCAACCCATGGCGAGTTAGCTCAGGGACTGAACTTGACAATGAGACCAAGCAGGACAGCAAGCCCCCTATGTTTTCTCTCAGCGCAGTGACCAGAAAGCTGGCTATGGCCAGCTTTCTGTGCGAATATTCTGGTGCATTTTCAGGTAGGTTTTCAAAAATTCGGCTAGATGTTGACGACAAATGCTGTCTTTTCCAAGAAGGAGGTCACCTCGGGCCAAATCTGCCTCCTCCCAACCCAGTTTGGCCCCATTTCTCCCCTCCCGACAGCATTCAACGACATCATCTAGCCGGATTTATGAAAACCGTAACATCGGACACCAGGAGCCCACACACCTTAAACTGACTCAACTAAAGTAAATATCGCCAAGAAACTCAGCTCTTACCCATGGTTCTCTTAAGGTGACTCTCTTCTTGGTTCCTGATTAGCAAAAGAAACATTCAAGTCCATCAAAAAGACACTCTGGACTTGTCCATACACTCTAGCTGCTTAAAGGCCCTGAATGACGGAGGACGCTTGAGACTTCAGCAAGTTCTAAGCAGAGAATTCAAGGTTAAGTCACCCCCTGACTTCCTCCACCCCCCCAGCCTAGCACGTGCTTGAGGGGAATGCTTTCATTGGCCAATGGGCCTCAAACGTCACAAGAATTTCACATGACAAACTAAAGGCAGACGTGACCAGTGCACTGACTCTCCCAGACCAGGACTAACGGAAGGTACAACGCTTTTGCAGCAGCCTCCCCCTAGGGATTGACGGGGAGGCCCCTTTCCAACCCATGGCGAGTTAGCTCAGGGACTGAACTTGACAATGAGACCAAGCAGGACAGCAAGCCCCCTATGTTTTCTCTCAGCGCAGTGACCAGAAAGCTGGCTATGGCCAGCTTTCTGTGCGAATATTCTGGTGCATTTTCAGGTAGGTTTTCAAAAATTCGGCTAGATGTTGACGACAAATGCTGTCTTTTCCAAGAAGGAGGTCACCTCGGGCCAAATCTGCCTCCTCCCAACCCAGTTTGGCCCCATTTCTCCCCTCCCGACAGCATTCAACGACATCATCTAGCCGGATTTATGAAAACCGTAACATCGGACACCAGGAGCCCACACACCTTAAACTGACTCAACTAAAGTAAATATCGCCAAGAAACTCAGCTCTTACCCATGGTTCTCTTAAGGTGACTCTCTTCTTGGTTCCTGATTAGCAAAAGAAACATTCAAGTCCATCAAAAGACACTCTGGACTTGTCCATACACTCTAGCTGCTTAAAGGCCCTGAATGACGGAGGACGCTTGAGACTTCAGCAAGTTCTAAGCAGAGAATTCAAGGTTAAGTCACCCCCTGACTTCCTCCACCCCCCAGCCTAGCACGTGCTTGAGGGGAATGCTTTCATTGGCCAATGGGCCTCAAACGTCACAAGAATTTCACATGACAAACTAAAGGCAGACGTGACCAGTGCACTGACTCTCCCAGACCAGGACTAACGGAAGGTACAACGCTTTTGCAGCAGCCTCCCCTAGGGATTGACGGGAGGCCCCTTTCCAACCCATGGCGAGTTAGCTCAGGGACTGAACTTGACAATGAGACCAAGCAGGACAGCAAGCCCCTATGTTTTCTCTCAGCGCAGTGACCAGAAAGCTGGCTATGGCCAGCTTTCTGTGCGAATATTCTGGTGCATTTTCAGGTAGGTTTTTCAAAAATTCGGCTAGATGTTGACGACAAATGCTGTCTTTTCCAAGAAGGAGGTCACCTCGGGCCAAATCTGCCTCCTCCCAACCCAGTTTGGCCCCATTTCTCCCCTCCCGACAGCATTCAACGACATCATCTAGCCGGATTTATGAAAACCGTAACATCGGACACCAGGAGCCCACACACCTTAAACTGACTCAACTAAAGTAAATATCGCCAAGAAACTCAGCTCTTACCCATGGTTCTCTTAAGGTGACTCTCTTCTTGGTTCCTGATTAGCAAAAGAAACATTCAAGTCCATCAAAAAGACACTCTGGACTTGTCCATACACTCTAGCTGCTTAAAGGCCCTGAATGACGGAGGACGCTTGAGACTTCAGCAAGTTCTAAGCAGAGAATTCAAGGTTAAGTCACCCCCTGACTTCCTCCACCCCCCAGCCTAGCACGTGCTTGAGGGGAATGCTTTCATTGGCCAATGGGCCTCAAACGTCACAAGAATTTCACATGACAAACTAAAGGCAGACGTGACCAGTGCACTGACTCTCCCAGACCAGGACTAACGGAAGGTACAACGCTTTTGCAGCAGCCTCCCCCCTAGGGATTGACGGGAGGCCCCTTTCCAACCCATGGCGAGTTAGCTCAGGGACTGAACTTGACAATGAGACCAAGCAGGACAGCAAGCCCCTATGTTTTCTCTCAGCGCAGTGACCAGAAAGCTGGCTATGGCCAGCTTTCTGTGCGAATATTCTGGTGCATTTTCAGGTAGGTTTTCAAAAATTCGGCTAGATGTTGACGACAAATGCTGTCTTTTCCAAGAAGGAGGTCACCTCGGGCCAAATCTGCCTCCTCCCAACCCAGTTTGGCCCCATTTCTCCCCTCCCGACAGCATTCAACGACATCATCTAGCCGGATTTATGAAAACCGTAACATCGGACACCAGGAGCCCACACACCTTAAACTGACTCAACTAAAGTAAATATCGCCAAGAAACTCAGCTCTTACCCATGGTTCTCTTAAGGTGACTCTCTTCTTGGTTCCTGATTAGCAAAAGAAACATTCAAGTCCATCAAAAGACACTCTGGACTTGTCCATACACTCTAGCTGCTTAAAGGCCCTGAATGACGGAGGACGCTTGAGACTTCAGCAAGTTCTAAGCAGAGAATTCAAGGTTAAGTCACCCCCCTGACTTCCTCCACCCCCCCAGCCTAGC